AGCCAACTTTCACATGTCGTTATGGAAATATTAACGCCATACGCTATATAGAGAGTACAAGCTAGAGACTTAGGCTCCCCAAATTGGAATCTTGGCTCTACCACTACCGAGCGCGGGAACTCAGGGCAACCGGCTTAAAGGCTTGTGTCTCTGTTTCCTCACCTGTAACATGGAGATGAAAAAAATACATTCTTGGGGGATTACACTGAAGATTCAATGAGCCTCCACTTACAAAACAATGCAAAAGCCGATCTTGAGCATAATAAGTGGTCAATAAATGTGCTGTGAGAAAAGAAATGAATCCAGGAAATTTAATTCCTCATCTTTCCCTTCAAGCCAGGAACTTGGCAGTTACCCTAGAATCCAATCTCTCTCTCCCATCCTACCTACCAACCATTGCCAAGTTCTACTGAGTCTTCCCTGCGGTATTTCTGTATGCTACACCCCCTCTCCACTGGCATTCTCCCCGCCCCGGTTCAGACTCTCAGTAGCTCCTGCCTGGATCGCCATGAGAAGCTGCCGACTGCTCTCCCGGCTGCTGTCCCCATCACCCATGCTTGAGGGACAGCTCCAGACCATGGCGTTAGGCACAGCTCCCTCTTCCTATCACCTCCACCATCGAAGTCCCTCCCCTCCTTGAGCAGGGTGGTTTCCAGATCCTGCACAATGGTCTTCATTTCTCTCTATTCCCTTGCCCATGTTTCCTGCCACGCACTCAAGCCCTCTTAGATCCAGGCTGTAAAATACTCTGCTTCCAACACACCCCACAGTCTCTCCTACTTCTACCACTTTGGGCATGGGGTTTTCCTGCCCCCTTCTGCTCTTCTCACTTCCCTAAGACCATTAGCTGAGCCCACATGAGTCAATTAGGGTCTTTCCATGGGCTCCTGTGGCTCCTTTCCCACATTTTATACAGGGTGACTAATAAGCTCGTACCCCTCCCCCGACACTGGCTCAGGCTACCCTGCTGCCACTATGCCTCCTTTAGCTTTGTCTCCAACATGTGAAGTAACGCCTCATCCACAGAAGACACTCAATAAATGTTTGCTGAATGAGTACACGAATGCAAGGATAACTACATACATGTGACATCAATGATCAGAAAGGACATCAATGACAGAATTAGTTAGGTATCTAGCATTGTGTCAAGCACACATATGGAGAAGGAACGGCATGAGGTTTCTTTATAGATACAAATTTCCTTAGGTCACTTTTTTTTTTTTTTAACAGGACATAGCAAATATATGCAGGCAGACATTCATACATTTAAAAAATAAATTAGGGTTCAATTTTTATATTCAATTTCCAAACATACTTGGAAAAGTTCATAGAAAATGGACTTAAAAGATAAGTCTATCATGGTGTAAAAAAAAAAAATCAAAACCCATGCACACAAGAGGTCTTCAAAAAAAAATTCATGGAAAACACCTATTATGTAAAAGCACTGCAAGGATTTCAAAAAGTTTTTGCACCAAAATAAATTTACATTTACATTTCCATCCTATTTTTCTGTGCAAGCTTTGAAGCGCCCTGGTTATTGTAGCTCACATTAGGGAGGTGCAAATTATGCAGGCACACAGGGCACCAGAAGCCAGTGCCAGTAAGGGAACAGAAGGACTGCACCGTGCACAAGAAGACTTCGTGACTTCAAACCCTTATAGGTTTCCAGTGCGGTGGGCCATTTACTGACCACCGGCTATGGAGCAGGGACCCTGCTGGGAACAGGGGACCAAAAGAGTAAGTTGCTAATCATGGCAGGGACCCACTGCTAATCCACCATGGGCACCATGTCTACCCTTGGCATGCTTCCCACCTGCTGCCCACCTAAGTGGCCCATCAGGAAAGGAGTGTGAAGGGGAAAAGAAAATGCAGCAGGAAGAGTCGTGGGGAACGATGGGTGAGGGATGTCTGTAAACACTCTCGTCAGCAACTTAACTGGATACGCATTAAACTAGATATTCATTGAAACCTTTTCCTCCCTTTAAGTCAGAAACACTGTTGAGCAAAGATCAGGGATTCTTCCACCTACATGCATTTCCTTTTTAAGAACTTGGAGAATTTCTTTTCTTTGACATTACTTAAGTTGCTATGTCAAGAATAAAACATATCTTTATCAAAATTCAACTAATTAGAAATTCCTAGAAATTTTCTACTTCATATTCAAAATAAACCAACTATATAACTCATTGGATTTTTTAAAAACCTGATGAAATGTGAATCCAATGTTAGGTCTATATGTGTGTTATGATTTGATTATAAGACTTAGTTAATATCCCGTACCATGTCATATAATCAAGAATGAATTATCTTGAGCTTGCTCAAGTCTGAATTGCAGAAATTCCATGAACCAAATTCTTTATTTTAGAAATTAGATATTTTTTAATCTGATAGTAGATGACAGTACCTTAATGCTTCCTAAGCTTTTCTGTTTTCTGTAATGAGAAGATTCTAGAGGATATTTCTGCCGATGGATGAGAGAAACTACCCCCCTAACAATCCACTAAATACTTAAAAACACCTTTCCAAATTGACATGGGGTCTGCAGTATGGAATGACGTAGCCCATAGGTCTTCTTTTTTATTTGTATGTATCTCATAAATACAACATTAGGAACATAGTAATTCATCCCACCATACCCCCCCTCCCCCTCTCCACCCCTTCCTCCTCCCTCTCTTGTTTAGTCTTAGGAAGGAAAAAAAAAAAAAGAAAAAGAATTGAATAATAATAATAAAAAAAAACTATGAGATCTGTTCCTCAACAGTCTAGACAAGGGCTGCTCTATGTTATTGCTTCTCGAAGGCGATTTTGCTTTTTTTCTCCCCTTCTTACCTTTTAGAAACTTAATTGTTAGGAAAAGGTAAGAAAAAAGAAGAGTTGAAGCAAGTCACTTTGTAGGGAATAAGGGTTATATATGCTATGCCACTGAACTAAATCTAGAGTAACTCTCCAAAATAATTTCATCTTAGCTTTGTACATTAAAAATAGTCCATGAAATATTTTCATTGTGAATAGTTTAGCTTCCATAATACTCTTGTATGCCACATCTTTGATGGGGATTATACCCATTATAGGGTGTTATATATTAACAAGTACAACTGCAATGAAAGCATTATCCATGCGCCACTTTTTGGATGTGCTCTGTGAATGTCCTGAGAACAAGACATTTAAATCCACTTGCATATTTACAATAGTGATATTGTTATTTCTCCATGTTCCCTCCTGGTTGCTAAGAGATTTACATTGGACAGATTCTGTTATACTCATAACAGAGAAGTTTGGTTCACAAGGCATTTGCTGTGGCTCAGTGAGTCCAGAAACTCCTTTTGCCTCCCCCCTTCCCTATTTTGCTTCTAAGACAAGCAGGGGCCCAGGCACAAAGGCAGCAGCTCTGTCATGAAGCCTGGCTGGGCTAACAACTCTTCACACACAATTTGGACATCAATCATGACTCCATACCTTTATGCAGACATATGAACCTTTGCCTGTGTTTCTGAGAAGCCAGTTTCTCACAGAAGGGTGGGAAAGGGAGAGATAAGTGGAGAGGGGGCAATTGATAGTGACCTGCCCACTAAATAAACTGAATGCAATGAGGACGGAATCTAGCAAAAGATGACAATTTCATAGCAACACTGCTATCGAATGCTTTAAAATATGACTGCATACAATTTCTTGGCTTAAGTTTGTGCTTTAATGAAAACATATTCAAGAAGTTTATTTACCAGAACACAGAAGGTGGGGGAGCTATCCATATTTAAAAACTTGCAGCATAACACAATTGCAGCTCTCCAAATTCAGCCTGCTAAAGTCTGCTCTGGAACCAAAAGCAGAGAGGCTTCTCCTTATAGATCCTAACTCAGAAGGAAATGGCAAAGGTACCAAAAACTGTCATGATCACTCCGGGAGGAAGGTGCATGGGGCAAATCCAATCTGCATGTCATTTAGAGAGCACGTGCAGCGCTGGCCAGAGCAAACTGAGAATATCCTTCCCTTGGGAATTCTCACAAAGACACATCAAAATGCTTTATGACCTGTCTTCCACATTCAGATCACAGAGCTGTAGGCAATTTTTATTCACGGGCATGGAAGGAAAGTGCCTTGGAGCCTCACTCCCCGGTCAGTATCTGAGAGTCATATGTAAGGGTAAAGCCACCAATGGCTCAGAAAGTATTCTTCAGCTGGCATAAGGTACCACCGACCTAGAGTATTCCTCCTACCCCACCCCCTCACCACCACCGCATTGGGATATCAGAAGGGGAATCACGAGTGCCTAAGCTTTGATCTCAAGCAATCCAGTGTTGAAGGCTGCAGGTCCCAGCCATCTCACAGGAATTCCTGCATTTAGGAAAATCACTCTCACCCAGCAGGGGAAAAAAAAAAACCCTCTGGGATTCTAGCTTTTTTTTTTAACCCCAAAAAGTTGTTTCTAGTAGCTTACTTCCATTGTACCATGAGGATAAAAGCACTTTATAGAAATAGGAAGCAAAAAAGAAAAGAGGAAGCTAAACGAGGCAGGAAATGACTTTACTGCTACGTCTTAAGGTCACAGATCTGCCTGAGCAACGTGCACATGTGACACAGTTCCAGCACAAAAGCTGCTTTTCCATGAGCCAGACCTCCAAGAAGTACAAAGGCCAGCTCTGCCGGCCTCAGCCTTGAACCCGAGACCCGGTGGTCCATTTAACCTTGACCGGGCTCTGGAGGAAAAAGTGCTCTGAACTCCTTCACAACACCTTTCTGTGTCATGGAGCCCGCCCCTGCCTCTGTAAAGCACAGCACACCTTCCGCAGAGCCCTGCATCGCCCGCCCCGCTGGAGAAACCCTTCCCTGGCCTTGCCCATCTCACGGCCAGGGTCTGCCAGAGGGTCCGCTCAGCTGTCCCCGATTTACACACCCAATTCACACCCCACACAGCATGGGGGGGGAAAAAAGGACCTGAATGCACCCCACAGATGCCAGCAGGAGATTAAAACAAAAAGAATCCAGGCAAGACATACAGCTACCTTTTTCTTCCGATCCCGGGACCGTTTGCGGTGTTTCCTTTTCTTCTCGGTCTCTTCTTCGGCATTGATCTCTAAATCCCTGTTCTTCTTTAATTGTGAGGCTGCATGAGCCATACTGCACTTACAGCGATTCTCTCAAGCACGCAGGGCTTCCTGGTACAAGGTGATATCCTCAGGCACCTCTAATCAGGCGGACAGCAGCATTCCACTCACTGGAGAGGAGGCTCTGACTGAAGCAGGAAGACATTCAAAATGCAAAGATGCTGGCGAAGCTGAAGCTTTTAAAAACCAAAAGGACGGGGTCCAGACTTCATCCTCCACCTTCCTCTACCTGAACCCCTGCGGGAGAGTGCAGCCATCGTAATGCATTTACCGTAGTGAAGACAGCTGGGACCGAGGAAGCTCTATTATGGCTGGATCCCGAGCCACCAGCTGGAAGTGTCTAAGTGACTCCTCGGAAGGGGGACTGCTGCAAAGGATGCTTCTCCGAAGGGAGAAAATCAAGAGTCACCACACATACAGAAGCAAAAATCCAGCACTAATTCTGAAAACCTATTTTAGAATCCTTCGAAAAAAAGAAAGGGCTGCAATTTATGCATCGCCACCAGATCTGCACAGAGCATAATTTAACCCGTGGTAGAATGGAGCAGTTCCTACTTTAGTTCAACTGCTGAGGGTGACAAAACATATAAAATAAGATTTCAAAAAACACACTAGATTTTGCTATGAAGATCTTGACTGCATTATAGGGAAAACAATGCACGCATTGCCGGTCTCAACAGTGCGTCCTTTATGCTGAACGATCGGCCTAAATGCATTTTGTGGAGAGGACTACAGAAGGGCTTGTTGTCTTTTACAAACAACATGCTGATTACAACACATCATACAGAAAGACGTGAGCATGTTGGTGCACGGAACAGATGTCCGATTCATGGGAGGTTCCCCAGGACTCTGCTCTCATGCGGTCCGAGGGGCAGAGAATGGGGAATGTGCTGTCATCGGAGTGTCTGATGGCTGAAATGCAGATTGGGCTTGCATATTAGGGGCTGCTTCAATCACCTTACTATTTCTGCCACCTGAGTCCTCAGCGACTGCAGCCTCTGAATATTCATTATGTGAAGCGAAGCAGCAGCAATGCTCAGGCCTGCTGGGGTCCTCTGTGCGGATGCACGTGCTGGAAGGAATCTAAGTTTGGGAATCATTTACACACGCAGTATCCACAGTAGCAGCTTTAGCCAAGGACTGCTGAAATGACAGACTTGGGCCTAAGATAGGTGGGCTCTAGGAAGAAACCCTAATTTCACCAACAAAATGAGCAGACAAAAATAACAAAAAACACGCACAACCCCATGATATACTATTAGAAAGGCTCAGTACACGTGTTTCTAACATGAAAGTCCATCATTCTGCAGGTTGATGCATTTGACCTGTTTGTAAAGCACAGAGCACAAAGTCCAGTGACACACACCAGGATCTTGTTGGGGTTCTGTGGCGTCGCTGTGTTTACCTGCTTCAGAGAGTGCCATGTGTGAGCTCCTGCCCAACCACAGCTACTCGCCATATTTCTGGTTTGGAAATCAAAGATCATCTCTTCTCCCCTGTAGGGTGCCTTGTAGTCTGCTAGCGAGGGATGGAAAACGAGAAGGGAAAGATTTAGGGACCATGGTGCTCCGTTCCTCCTACAAATGGACCTCACGCTGAGAACCACATGGAAACCATTCTGGTCACATAGTTCTCCTGAGGGCCTACTATGTGCACCGATGTAGTTATGTTCCTACTATGTATACTTATGTACATATGTTCCAGACAAGCTATCTCCAGAAGAAAGAATTCCATAAAGTGTCTCCACTGCCTTTGAGGGGAAGGGGAACTGGGGTGGGATTATGTGAAGAATTAAATGGAAACTCATGGGGCTGGCGCTGTGGCACAGTGGGTTAACGCTCTGGCCTGAAGCACCGGCATCCCATATGGGCGCCAGTTCGAGACCTGGCTGCTCCACTTCTCATCCAGCTCCCTGCTATGGCCTGGGAAAACAGTAGAAGATGGCCCAAGTCCTTGAGCCCCTGCACCCACGTGGGAGACATGGAAGAATCTCCTGGCTTCGGATCGGAGCAGCTCCGCCCATTGCGGCCAACTGGGGAGTGAACCAGCAGATGGAAGATCTCTCTTTCTCTCTGCCTCTCTTCTCTGTATAACTCTTTCAAAAAATAAATAAATCTTTAAAAAAAAAAAGGTAACTCATATACAAAAGAAGATAAATCATATTTGTGTCTTCATGATAAAAAAAATTTTTTAGTGTGATTTTTAACTGTAATCCTAACAAGTGGTACAAAGAATAAATGGGAACTCTTACAGGCTTCTCCTCACACAAACCATCCTGCACTGTTGAGGAACAGTCACACCATTTCCTTTCCTTCTTTTCAGCAAATTGAAGAAGAGAGCCAGCTAAAAGCTGGCCGATTTCCCATCGCTCCTGGACCCTTCTTTCTTCCGTTAGAGATGCTGACGATACTTTACAATACATTTCCGAATACCCTCAATCTAGGTAACCTCTCCATCGCAGGCTGGCACAGCACTGGGCTTTCCCACTGGCCGCTTCTGGAGCGGGTATAGTCAGAAAGGTGGAAATAAGGCCAGGTATATTTCAATATATTTCTCTCTAGAATAATTCTTTGTTTCCTCAAAAGTCTAGAAATTGACACTGCATCATAACATGTATAATGCCATATGTGAATTTTTGTTGTTTTGTTCTGGATTTTCCCCTATCTCAGCAAGTGGGTAGCTCATCCAAAATAAATTCTTAACAGAGTGCATTTCGATTTTCTCCTTACAGAGAATGTGGGATTTTGTCCTTTTGTTTTTTTGTTTTGTTTTGTTTTGTTTTTTGACAGGCAGAGTGGACAGTGAGAGAGAGAGAGAGAGACAGAGAAAGGTCTTCCTTTTGCCGTTGGTTCACCCTCCAATGGCCGCCGCGGCCGGCGCACCGTGCTGATCCGAAGCCAGGAGCCAGGTGCTTTTCTTGGTCTCCCATGCGGGTGCAGGGCCCAAGGACTTTGGTCATCCTCCACTGCACTCCCAGGCCACAGCAGAGAGCTGGCCTGGAAGAGGGGCAACCGGGACAGAATCCAGCGCCCCGATCGGGACTAGAACCTGGTGTGCCGGCGCCACAAGGTGGAGGATTAGCCTATTGAGCCATGGCGCCGGTCCTTTGTCCTCTATTTCTAAGAAAACCAGAGCTATGAACAGTGGCTCTACCAAGAAAGGGAGCCCTTTTGTGTGATGGATTTTGGTTACAATATTACTAAAAGCGTAGAACCTTCCTCCCTACCCAGCACACACCCTGACAAGTTATTTTCAACTTCCTTGTGTACTTAATCTCAACACAAAGGCATTAACTCAAAATTGACAGGAATGCTAGCCCCCACTTCCCCAAACTGAGTTGACAGTTCTGTCAATATCCAGAAAGTGAACCCTTATAATAGCCAAAATCTAAACATTGAAAGAAATTTTAAAAATTGATTCTCTGACTACAGTTCTATCAGACTTTTCTATTTGAGCTTGTTCCTTCTGGGGGAGTTAATATGAATATTCAATTGCTAAAACTGATATTCTGATTAAATATTATTTATGAATAATAAAACTGATATTCTGATTATCTGGCTGGTACAGGCTTCCATGGCTGAGCAAGCGGCAGGTCCCTAACAATAAGAATAGGATACAGACACCACACTACAGGAAACAATAATGCAAGGCTCAGCCAGTCAATGGTCACTCACATGGAGAGCAACTTCTCTAGTCCTAACTGCTGCCACCAGCCACCAGTATATAATAGACAGGACTTGCAGAGGATGGAGGTGGACTATGCATGGAACTTTGAAGCTACTGAAAGTTCAGGAATAATAACTAAGTACTTTGTTCAAGGAAAATAAAAAATCTAGGGTAGGCATTCAGCTTAGCGGTTAGGACACTGGTTAAGACCACATCCCATATGGGAGTATCTGAGTGCTACCTAGCTCTGCCTCATGACTCCAGCTTCCTGCTGGTGCAGAGCCTGCAAGTTAGCAGCGATGGCTCTGAGGAATCGCATCCCTGCCACCCCTGTGCGAGACCTGGACTGAGCTCCTACTTTAGATCCCACCCCAGACCCAGTCGTTGCAGTCATTTCAGAAGTGAACCAGCAAATGGGACAGCCCTCACTTTCTCTTGCTCTATTTCTGCTTCTCAAATAAATAAAGAAAATGTAGATAAAAAGAAAAAAACCTGTTCTTCTTTTATGAAAATCCCACGTATAACAATCTATAAGTCATCCCTTCGAAATATAATACAAGGGTGACCTTTCAAACTCATTAGCCGAAAAAGACTTTGGGTGACTATGTCCTACAGAAAGGCAGTAATAATCAGTATAACAGTAGGTCTCCTTGGCTGAAATGAAGGAATGGTGGCTTGGAGCCCCAGCGTTGTGGCTTTGGTGAGCACAATTTGGAACCTGGCATATTTCAGCCAATTGGCCCCAGGTTTTTCTTCGCTGTGACTTTGTTACTAGAAGTTATGGCAAAAAGCAACTTTTTATTATTGAAAGTTTCCTCAATTTTCTGTCCAAAATAATTCTTGGTTTCTTACTAGATCTGACAGGTTTTATCTTAAGTATTTCCTGTCTATACTTTCTTAGAGCATGAAACTACTGCCAAATAAAAAAAAATTAAAGAAGGTAAAAAAAAAATCACTTTCCAGTTTGGATTCATGGTTATATTCCAACTAGTATCTAATCCAGGAATTGAAAAGCTGTGACTCAACATTCCACTGGAAATACGGCCAAATCAATTCATCAGGAAGTTTCACCAACTTCAGATACCACAGCCATTTGCAAACACCTGTCCAGGATCTTAAGACAAGCTTTGAGTGTTCCTCCAGCCAATCAGTAATGTGCAGTCCACTTCATTCCATAGCGTGTCTTCACATCATTGAGTTGACATGAAAACCAACAATGTATGCGATTTCTACAGGGATGACAGTGTCACCTCGAGATTTTGAAACTACGAGAGCTGTACACGTTGAGAAACTGTTATATAGTGATATATAGAAGTGGGTGATGGGGAGTATGCTCAAAAATGGATAGACAGGAAGCCAGTCAGGAGCTAAGAAGAGAAAATGTCCCAGTACTACAGGGAGGCTGCATCTTGCCAGCCCCACTCCAGGTTCATGGCACCGAGGCAAGGGCATGTTTAGATGGAATCAGAACTCTTTCATGCTGCACCCACTTCAGTTCCCCCAGAAGCAGAACAGCCTCACCATAAGTCACAGTCAAAATATTTCTCCTCCATAAAGACAAATGGATCTGGTGTCATTTCATTAATTTTGGCACCCTAGATAGAGAAGTTACCAAGAGACCTTGGGCAGGTTCTGAACTATGTTGGGGAACAGGAAAGCAAGCGTGAAAGCTGTCAGAGGCTCTAAATGACAAAAAGGTACCCTGGGAAGTTCTCAAGTCATAGTCGCGTATTATTCTTCATTTTCAGGTCAGACATAGGAAATCCTAAAAAATACAAGACTGTGGCTGGGCCATAGTGAAGGACGGGCGGTCCTTTCCACACTGCTCGCAGCCGGTGGCTCCTCTGGCCTTGGGACCATCTGTCTCAGCGCTGCGTCTGCCTGCTGTCCCTGGAGCAGGCTGTCTGTCCAACTAACTGCGCTGACCTCACCGCTGCACAGAGCGCCAGCTGGTCCTAAGCACTCCAGCTGCTTCTGTGACCTCACACAGGCAGCCGGGGCCAGGCACGTGGGGATGGCTGCCCCACGGTCTCGCTCTCACATCCACACTGGCCAGCACAAAGTGGAAGGCGCTTTCACTGCACATCGAGGATACACCCCTGGTCTGCCCTGGAGGCCTGGCAGAGCACGGAGCACATAGAGAGCATTGGGAGTGGTAACCAAATAATAGCCACTGGATGCACCATTCCTCTCTGGGCCCCTGCACCTACTTGGAAACTTTAACAGGTTCAGGGGAAAATGGAACTGAGAGCTAAGTAGTTCATTTTGGTGCAAAAAGATTTTGAAATCCATGCCTAGGAGGGGGTCTTCAGAAAGTTTATGGTGAATAGCTATTAAAAATACACTATGCATGAATTTCAAAAATTTTGCATCAAAATAATCTTTTGATTCCATTTTCCATTAATTGTAAAAAAGAAAATGATTTGTTGATTGAGAGCCAGAGACAGATCTCCTATTTGCTGGTTCAAGCTATCATCGCTGCCGCCTAGGGGAGCTAGAATCAGGAGTTGGAGCAGGGCTTGAACCAAGACACTCTGATATGGGATGCAAGTCTTCTTTTTTAAACATTTATTTATTCATTTATTTATTAGAAATGCAGAATTATGATTATGGGGGTGGTACAGGGAAGACAGAGAGTAAGCTCCATCCACAGGTTCACTCCCCAAGGCCACAACACCCACAGCTGGGCCAATCCGAAGCCAGAAGCTTTATCTGGATCTCCCACATGGGTGCAGAGACCCAAGTATATTAGCCATCTCCCATTACCTTCCTAGGTGCATTAGCAGGAAGCCAGATCAGAAGTGGAGCAGACAGGACTCAACGTGCAGCCATTTGGGATGCTATGCCACAAAGCCAGCCCTGAAGCAGGTATCTTAATCCACTAAACCAAACACCTTTCCCTCTAATAACTTTTAAAAGTACTCTCATAGGAGGAGGAAGCTGGACCAGATGACTTCTCACTATTCTAGAACACTGGGTCTGAAGTGACAGAGGGCTTAGGTGTTCTGAAAGGAAGATACAAAGGAAAGTTTTATTTAAAAAGAGTTTGTAAGCTGCATTGGGCAATATACTAGCCGCTAGACATATGTGGCCACTCAGTACTGAAAAGCGAGGAGTGCAGCTGCAGAAATGAATTTTTCATTTCATTTAAAAATTTTAAATTTAGAACTGATTCTCAATTCAAATACTGAAACACATTCAAGTATGTTTGGAACAATTTAGATATGTGAATCTACTTTGCTAACTAAGTTTTATTAAATAAAATAAAGATTATATACTTCCAATAAAAATTCAGCATCCAAATTGAGTTGTGATTACATACAAGATTTTAAGACTTAGAATTTAAGGTAAACTATCTCAATAATTTTATGTTGATTAATAATAAAATGATATTTTGGATAGGTCCAGATAAATGAAACATTAAATTGGTATAATTTTGTAAAGCCTTTTAACTATAGCTATGAAATAGTGGAAATGATGTGCATGGCTCACACACTTCTTTTGGATAGCAATGGTCTATATGAAGAGCATATGCTAAAGAAAAGAGTCCAGTTTGCAAGAAATTATCTTCCTAAAGGCACTCAGGAAGTGCCTCCGTGACACTGAACAATCTGTCCCTAAGACAGAGAGACAGATGGAGAAAGATCTGCCTTTCACTGGTTCTCTCTTCAGATGCCCAGAACAGGCAGCGCTTGGCCAGGCTGAAGCCTAGAGCCCAGAACCCAATTCGGGTCTCCCACATGAGTGGCAATGATCCAAGAACTGAGCCAACACTTATCTCCCCCAGGGTGTACATCAGTGGGAGCTGGATTGGAAGCAGAGTAGCCAGGGCTCAAACTGGGCACTCCAATATGGGCTGCAAGCCTCCCAAATGGTGACTCAACTACTGTACCACATGCTCACCCCCATCATGCTTTCTATTTGAAGAGATGAAGCACAAAAATGTAATAGTCTCAGGCACCTGTGCTAAAAGAAGCCTTCATGCATGCACAGGCTCACTCACTCACTCTGAGTGACTGTGAGTCACATAAATGAATGAGACATGGCCCCTGCCATCAAGTATCAATGGGAGAAAGAGGCAAGTAAGCTGTTACCGCATATGTACAGGT